TAGAATAACATAGCAAAAAATTATCGTGGCATCATTGAAGGCTTTATTTATAGTAATTCAATATTCAGCATGCGATGCTGCAGTGCTGGGTAAGAGTGTCACAACATCAGACACTAAATGTAAAATTTTAATATATTTTTCTCTAAATATCCCTCACAACCATGCATCCCCTCCCTCTCTCATGATGCTTAGTCAGGAAGAAAGAAAAAACAGGGAGAAGAGAAAAGAGGAGAAAAGGAGAGAGAGAAGAGGGAGAAAACTACTTTGAGTCATTTTCATCTATTGTTCCTGTTATAAATTTTTTGCTATTTGAAGTAACTACACTTTTAATCCTTTTTCTAATGGTTTGACTTCTAGAAATTTTTTCTCTCCTAAATCTACTAAAATGCATTCTTCTAGTTTTGTAAGCTTTCATCGTGTAATTTTTTATATGTTATATATTTGATCATTCTAAGTAATTTGTTATGATGTTATTACATTTTTATTGGTTAAATATGTATATAGAAATTTCTACATAAAATAAGTAGAAAAATGTATACTGAGAATGGGTGGAAAGTGATGTATTCTGATTTGATATGATAATAGTGAAATGTGACATGTCCTGAAATATTTGATATGATTGATATGCACTAGAATATAACACTGTTACTTGTATGAATTTTATAAGATAAAATGAAACATTTGGTGTGCGTGTATATATATATATATATATATGTGTGTGTGGAAGCGAGATTGCTAATATGAAATACCATTAGGTGTAATGAAATGAAGTGCTAATTGATAGCAGAGATATATGTGTTGGCTCAAGAAAAATGGTGCTTTCCATGCTTAGGATTTAATTCTCTTTAAAGCGGGTTGATTTTAATTAACTAGATTTCCCTTGATATTCATATTGAGGTTTAATTAGATATGGTCCTAACTTCCTATGAGTGCAAGCTTTCATAGTTAATTATCCCTCCTACTTCGTAAGAGATAACACTAGATTAAGGATGAATCATTTAGAATAGCTTAATAAATTCTTTGTTTTAGTCTCATTTATGGGGATGGAGGTAGACCCGATCAAGATCCTATGATTACATCATCCCAAGAATATCATAATCTTAATATACAAATGATAATAAATCATTGGTTGTAACATATAGGGAATCTGATTAGATGTCATAGGTTGCCTTCTCTCAAGGATCTTGAGTAGATTGGGTGGTTACATATAGGTTCTAGTTTTATTAAAATTTAAGTTTAGGGGCTTAAATCTATCATAATGACTATTAATTTATTTAGTTTGGGGCTAATAGCTTTGTTTAGAAGTTTCCCATTAGTTTGGTTTAATATAGGGCTTACGACTCCACTTAGGATTTGCCCGTATGTTTGATTATTCAACCAATTTCTTTAGTTTCTACAAGCCATAGTGAAATGGAACTTCTTGCAATCTTCGTATAAAAGCAGCATGGGTGACAACTAGCACTAAGTCCTTCACATCAAGTATCTTGATTTTGAATCTTATAATGAAACTATGTAGTAACACATCAAGTATCTTGATTTTGAATCTTATAATGAAACTATGTAGTAACTTGCCAGGCTCTTGGCACATCTTAAGAAGGGTGTGTAAGGTGATGAAGATTATCCTAATTCTATGAATGAGTTTACCACCTAAGTGCCGACTACTTGAGGGGTGTGAAAAACAGTTGGCACTTCAAAGCATCATTAATGCTGAGTAATGACGTCATTGATTTAAAGTATGTGGCATTATTGAATTGGTCAATCCTTTCCCATAAGGACTCTAAGTTTGGCATCTTAAACTTTAGATGTGGTCTTACCTTGACTATCTCCTTGAAAAGGCATTTGTCAACTTAAGCTCTACTCTCCTCGCTCGCCTGGGAGGGGGTTATACTTCTCATCAGTTGTGATAATGTGACTGAGATCAACATTGGGAAAAAAGATTAATGATCTGCTCTTTAGCCTTCTCTGACAAACTATCAAATTAGAAGACCCTTCAAATGTGGTTTCCCTTGGGACGTGCTTTGGTAAGCCCACCAAGGCATCTTAGATCATCTTTGTGAGTCTTTCCTCCATCTCCATGAGATCAAGAGTGGTGCAATTGAGGGAGTCTATATTCATCAATAGCACATGTTTTAGTTGTTTGTCTAGTTGTGCATGTCTCTAGCCCCTATCATTAGTCCACACTAACTACAGTTTGAAGAATGTTAAATCTAAGGCTACAAATAATCAATTATAGCTCATTCGGGATAATTTGACCAAGTAATTAAATAAACTCGAACATTTTTTAAATGCTCAATGGTTAAATAAAAAAGCTTGAATAGCTATATACTTCACTTATTTATGTTCATGAATAACATCGTTTAAAGCTCGTTAACAAGCTTGATATAAGCTTAGTGACCTATATGAGTTCATAGAATGTCGCCTTGAAGATTATCTTCTCAAATTGCTTTGCCTAATGAGATTTGGATTCTCCATCTACTAATACTTCTAAGAGTGAGGGCAATCATTTTTGGCAAATCTTTGTTACTAAGGTTCACTAAAACCAAGTTGTACTTAAAACTTGTTAAAATATCTATAAAACACCTATGAAGATATTTACTAGCATATCATAGTAATATGAAGGAATGTTTTAATAATATAAAAGAATATTAATTTTATTAATTAAATATAATAAGTTATAAGAAAATCAATAAAAATTATCATCTTAATGTCCAGCAAAAAAATATAAAAGAATTAGTTTAACTCATCATATTAAGTTATAAAAATAAATAATAATGATAATAATAATAAACATATTTTTGCTAGCTTTTTTAATGGCTAAAACATTAAATGTCATTTTTATTTATTGTACATAAATTATATTTATAAACAAATCATGTGAAATGAATAATACTATTTACGCTACAAATAATATAATACATTACTTTTTAAAATGCAAGCAATGACCAATGTACACTTGTATATTCATAACTCATTTGAATATATAACTTTAGCTTGATTTGAACCCACAATCATAAACACAAGTTCAATTTTTTTTTTGGAAATAAATATCCACCCTCTACCACCCCCGAAAAGACCCTTAACGATGTGACTAATCCTCCTCTAACCTAAAAGAGGCATCCACCCAAGAAACCTCCTGATCCGAATTTGACGGATCCCTATTTAAAAAGCATTGCCGCTCAAGGGGAATCGAGCACGCTACTTTTAAATACAATTCAATTTTAATATAAACCAAAAGCTAATCAAATTTTTTGGCAGCTATAACTAATGGTTGCATTGCTTGTCTCAAGCTTCATTTCGAACAACTTTTTTGTAACTTTCTAAAGCAGCTTTCTAATTAAAAATCTTAAATTTATGTACTAAAATATCATTAAAACAAGCAATTAGAAAGCTATCCCAAACAAAGTAAATTATTTTGTACATACGCCAAACATCATCCAAAGACCAACCAGAATATGCCACATCACCCCCACTTGATAACGTAGCTTCATATCATGATGTGACACATTCTGATTGATCTCCAGACGAGGAACTGAGTTCAACATCCGCACATAATAATTTCCCGCCAAACAAAGCCTTAGCTGGAATGAGCGCCAAAGCAACTTGAACAGGAATGCAAAACAACCAATTCTGCACAAAAGCTGGTGAAGCCTCTTGTCCTCATAAACAACCAAATAAAGAAAAATAAAAGAAATAATACATAACAATTTTGTCAAATATCTTGACTACTCAAAATTCAATGACTGAACACAATAAGCAGAGCAATATTGAAATTAACAAGGCCCCTTCGGTGTATTGAAGGCCTTCACATCACCAAAACTATCTAAAACTATATTATCTGCTTGTTATTTTCATTAGGGGATTCAAAGAACATAATCATAAGCTTGTTGAAGTCAGCCAAACAATCTCCACAATTTATCACAAACAGCTTAACAATGCTCACCATAATCAATCTCCCCTTCTTCCTCTTTCCTTTACAGTACAAAATCATAAAAAATATCATGATAAATAACATATAACAAGATGAGAACAAAATGGACAATGCTGCCATCACAATTGTGGAACCTTCCATTGATAAAAACTCTTATAAATATGCAAAGAAATTGACTTGTTTCAAAACTCCAACTTGAAATCTATATATATATATACCAATATACCAATCCGACATATATTCAAGATCTTTTATTGAATCATGTGATGGGGAGACTCGTAACCCGAACCGAATTCTTATAAAAAGAAAATATTTCAATCCTTTTTTACTTAGTGTGAGATAACGATAGGCATAACTCATCTGAACGCTAAACGAAACAATGAGTTCAAATTGAATAGATTTTCATCTATATCTATATATTGTCATAATCATATAGCATATATACTTAGATTATATATGATCTTAATCATATTCATATATAGTATTATTGTTTCATTTCATTTATAGAAAGAAAATTGTTGGTATAAGTTATAATCAATTACCTTTGAATCTTCTATTTCCCTGCATTAGACTCTTTTCCAATGGCATATACATTGACACAAAATGTGCAAACATACAAGGAAAAAATTCATGATACCAAAAAACAAACTTTATCATGTGCTTAACAAGTTTGCTATAAAATATACAAAAAGAAGACAACCAATTACTAACTTGTAGTATTCATAAGTTCATCAAAAGCTAATTTCATTCAAAAGTTTAAGCAAAGGGAAATTTAAAAGAAAAAAACACAAAGCATAGGACCCTATGTGTCCCATACTTGCTTTCCATTAAAGTTTTAATCAATCAAATGGTGTAATAACATGGTGACCAAACAGAACATTTACAGTAGCTCCAACCTTAAGGAGTGCAAAGCTCCAATGTTAAACGCACCAAGTTGATTAAGAGACAACAAGAAACATAAAAATAATGAATAAAAGAGCAGGCACCATTTCCTGATAGACTAAGCATTTAGATTAAAGCCCTGCCAAGAAGAAAAAACTAGAGTGCAAAAACTAGCCAAAAAAAAAAAGGATTTGGCCAATTTTAGATCATTTTAAAGGTCATTAATCCAAGCAAACAAAAAGAAAAGTTCAGAAATGAATCCATGATCTGTTTCATGGCAAAGAAAAACAACACATGAATGAATCAAATTAGGTTTTGGAGAACAAACTCCATTAACTTTGTCCAAATTGAATCCAAGGGTAGAAGTGATAAGCTATTGGTTAGCATTAAATTTGTGATACCATGAACCTTCCAAAGAATGCATCACCATGGACACCTCTACAAATCAGTTCCATGGACCCCAAGCTCCTAACCACGCCGCCAGCACCATTCCCTCTCTATCCGTCACCATGTTCATAAAGCAGAGACATAAAAATCAGCAGAAAACAAAAGACCCAGCCTTGTATGACCTAAATAAATCATGAAAGCGTGTCAATCTTCACATGAAGAATCATAAGAAAAATCAACGGAAAAAAAGAGTAATAGAAATAGAAAAATAAAAAAGAAATTAATCCGAGAACCTCTAAAATCAGATCGGTTGGTTTCCAGCTTTTTTGATTCATCTCATTCATTCTACTAGATGGATTAAAATTTGTACATGATAAGATGCGGAAGAGAAGGACATCATAGAACAATAAGTGAAAAATAGATCCAATATAAAGCTCCAGATCCGAACTGATCAGAACCCTAGATAGATCTGATAAATCCTAACAAAAACACAACTCCATCATCATACTCCCCCTCCGGTACCAAATCATAGAGAGAACCAAATAAAATAACATATAAAAGAGAAGAAGAGAACCAATTTGTATTCTCAGTTATGCCTCAGAGATGGAGAGCTGTGCTCTGCAGTTCATCATCCGGAGGTGGTAAAAGGTTGAGATCGAAAGGAAAGGGCTGCCTGTACGCAGATGCGATGTCCCCATCATCGACTACCGAAGACGAGGAGCCGCAATCGCTATGGCAGTCCTGGTCACCATCAAGCACCCGTGGAGGCGCCGGCTGCACCAGCTGCCGTAAATAGATCGCCGGTGGCACGGAGAGCCGCGGGCCACTGAACGACTCCACCGTGCTGCTCAGACTGCTCGTTGCCGGTCTCGCGGGCGGCGGCAGCTGTTGATGGAAAAAGGAAAGGGGGACCGATCCGGATCCGGATCCACCGCCGAGCGTAGAAGCGTGGGAAGGAATAGCGGAAAAGTTGGTCTTTGCCTTAGGTCCGCGTAAGGCACGCGCGGCGGTGTCGTAGGCGCGTGCAGCATCTTCCGCGGAGTCGAAGGTGCCAAGCCAGACTCTCGTCTTCTTACCAGGATCCCGGATCTCGGCGGCGAAGCGACCCCATGGCCGCTTGCGTACGCCTCGGAAACGCGTCTCCATTCCCGGCGGCAGAGGCGGCGCTGCTGCAGGTAAGGCTGCCGCCTGTGTTCGACCCTTCCTTGAAGCCATCGCTGCCGCCGTTGCTCCGATCGGAAGTCTTGCGAGTTGCCGGTTGCAGGTCGGTTGAAGATCTAAAGAAAGTTGTAATGACAGCTACCGGCCTCACCTCTTCCCCTCTCTCTCTCTCTCTCTCTGCTTCGGCCTCTCTCGCTCTCCGCCCTCTCAAATAAGGAAGGGCGATGGAGTCTTGAATTCTCTATCGTCTCTTTCTATATCTCTATTTCGCTTCTCCTTCTTCTGTCGCCCCCACAAAGACGGCTTGATTGCCTTCTTCCACCGCTCCCTCACCTTTATCAATTTTTTTTTTTCTTTTTCTTTTCTCCGTTGGCTCGGTTTTTAATCAGCCTTTGAGTTTTGCGAGGAAGGATAAAAAGACGAAAACGCCCTTCTTATTCACGGTTTTTCCAATTCCCGTGCCCATTTTTACTGCCGACCACAAAACAATCGAGTAATTTGCAAAACCACACATTGCTACAATTCGAATTCTTACCAATTAATATATGATGTAATTATATATATTTTTGGGCTGTAAAATTTTTAATTTTTGGGACTTTTAAAAAAATTAAGGCAAATTTACGCATACATTATATATGCAAATTTTAAACTAAAAGACCTATTAAATAGCAACAAAAGATCCTAATAAATAGATCAAAGTGAGTTGAGTGGTGGCTAAATCTTAATGTGTAAGGCTATAAAAAAAGCTCGTGTTCAATTTATGAAAAGTCTCGTATTTGATTCTTTCACTGAATAACCGGTCGAAAATTAGCCCGAATTGTAAATGAGCCAATCATAAATGACCATTTATTTGATCATATTTGACTCATTTTTAGGCTTGAAATAATTAAAATTTTAAGGTTGCTTATTTTTTGTCCTAAAAGGTCGTTCCTTTTTCAATTTTGGATTCTATAGATTCTCGCTCCGATCTCTTAATCCTAGCATTCTCCTTTGTCCCCACATTTCTCTTTTTCAGTTTACCCTTGCCCCCATTTATTTGTCTATTTAGTCATCTGGCTTGTCACATTCTCGCCCGTAGGAATTGACACTGGACTCTTGTTATCTTTGCATATTTGAGAAGCCCTAGCGAGTTAAACCTCTTGCGGGTTGCTTTAAGTATAGAAGATATTTTTTGAGCTTTATCTTATGCTGAAAGTATTTAGCGGATGATAGTTTAGATGTATCTGTGGTGACAGATTGTTTTGGTATATAAATCTTGTTGAAGCTTTGGTTGCAATTAGTGGCGGAGCTATAAATTTTTTCTAGTTAAAGCACAAATTAAGTTTTAAATAATCTCTCAAATTTTATTATTAATACTTGTATATGATTTCATATAAAAATTAGGACTATAAGATGATGAATAAAAGAATACAACTCATTAACTATAGTTCTATTTTAATAAAAAAAATTTAAATTTAGTTTTTTTATAACAATTTCAAGCTAAATACAAATCAAATACAAACATGCTATTCATAAACAATTTTGAATACGAGCCGAATTCGAATGAATAAATTTTTGAATGAGGTGAACACAAACAAATAGTGAGCTATCGTAAGAGGAGAATATTTGATTCTTAACTAAATTTTAATATGAATATTTGAACGAAAATTAATTAAGATAAATGAAAATTATTTATTTATTTTGAAATAAATTAGATAAATTATATATTTTTTTCTATTTAATAGAACTCTTATGACTATAAGTTTTATTTATATCAATTATAGGGTCATTAAATCCATTGTAAAGGTTTGTTTGCTTAGATGTATTAGAAGTAAAAACCAATTATATGAGTTTTTAAATGCTAGGTGTTTAGTTGGATAAAAGCATAAGTAAAGCATTTTATTGTGGAATTTGGAATACTCCCCTATGTTTATTTTTCATTGTATGTTGAATTTAGTCAAACTAAACAATTTGAAATACAGCACATCGCCATGATGTACAGCTAATTCCTGGTAGAGTAATATTGTGTCCTTATTGGCAACTAGGGGTGCAAACGAGTCGAGTCGAGCTCGAGCCAGGGGGGTGTTCGAGTTGAGCTCGACTGCCAGAGCCCGAGCTTGAGCTCGAGCTCGAACTCGAGTGGAGGTAAAAAAACGAGCTCGAGCTTGACTCGTTTCATGTAGAGTGGCTCGTCGAGCTCAGTCCCGAGCAGTCTAGCAGTCACGAGTCGCGACCACTGTCGTCTCGAGCAGAGTCGTTCACAACAAGCGAGCTTTTCCTGTATTGCTTCCGATCGAAATACCTTAACTTCCGATCCCACAGGAATGGAAAGTCATCAAAGGAGCCAAAGAAGCGCTCAGATTGGAGAAAGTTACCTTAACTGCACACAAGCTCCCGTTATAGCTTCTGATCCGAATGACATAACTCCCAATTCGACAGGGAGGTAAAGTCGTCGAAGGGGCAAGGTCGAACAGCTACGAAGGAGCCGGAGAAGCGCCCGATAAGGAAAAAGTTACCATCTCAGACAGTGAGCTCCCTTCGTTGCTTCCGCCCAAAATGTTGTAACTTCCTATCCGACAAGAAGGGAATGTCGTCAAAGGGGTGAAGAAGTGTGCTGAAGGAAGAAAGTTTCCACCACAACAAGCGAGCTCCCGTTCCAACTTTCGATCGAACTGTTGTAACTTTCGATCTAACTTGAAGGGAATGTCGTTGAAGGGACAAAGTCGAACAACGACGAAGGACGCCAAAGAAGCGTGCGAGAGGAAGAGCAAAAAAGAAAAGAGAGCCCTGAAGGCTTCGATTCTTCGGGCTTTTAACGACTCGTGGAGGAGATCATGGAGAGAAGCGACGTCGGAGTGCGAGCGACGTGCGAAAGGTGTTGACGACGTGCGAAGATATGGCGGACAGGTATGGGATTTTACGTTTTTTTTTTGTATGCCGCAGTACAGGTCAACAATTACAACCAACAGTTACCTTTCTCAAAATCCCTTCAAATTGTTGAGTGGATGCTTAATCACTAGACTTATGTTTTAGTTTACTGTCTATATTATCAGTTATTACTATATTTAAGCAGAAAGAAAGTTATGGTTGAGTATTCCCCCTTTTTTTTTTTCGTTTCCTCTGTGAAGCATATGTAGTTAATGTGTGTAGTAATCAAATTTTTAATGTAATTTGAAGCTAAGCTACCCACGCAGTATGTGCATTAGAAGAGGCTGGTTGATCTG